ATTTTATTTTGTTTTACTTGAATACCTCCTTCACTGGATGTTATTTCACAGAGGTGTAATCACCTGGGGATAAAGTATAGTTGGAAGTTTCTCTTTGTGTTGGGTCTTAATAGTAGCAGGAACCCAAAGGCTCACCATTTTTCTAGGCATAATATATACATGTATTAGTGCTGTAGAAATCAGGACACAGCAGGGCGATGGAATGGAATCTCACATGTGCAGAACGTTAAAGCTGGAAGGGCCCTGTTATGGTTTGGATATATTTTTTATTTTTGAGGCAGAGTCTCACAATGTAGACCAGGCTACTCTCCGGCTCACCGAGATCTGCCTGTCTCTGTCTCCTACGTGCTCCAGCTGGTGGTTCTGTTGGGTAGCAGTGCAACTCTTAGGTCTAGCGGGAGGAAGCTGTAAATGAGAGAAGCTGTACCTGCAAAAACTGATTAGAATTGCAGAGACTCGGAAGAGGCTGGAAGGATGCAAGTTCAGAGCCTTTTTACAACTCACTTAGGAATCTCTTCAGTCTAAATAGCCATTCCTCATATAACTCTGTGTTGAAACTAACACCCTGCATCTTACCAGATAAAAACCTGTTGGGATGTATTAGCAGACCACTAGCTCCCACCGAACCTCAAAGCTAAGAACGTCGTCAGACAGCATCAGATGCAGATAGAGAGGCTTCTCCGCTTTGCTGTGACCCATCTCTCTGATGTTACCCCAATGTATTGTAAAAGTGTCTTGATTTATAACATTCTTTCTCCTGTTACTATTAGAAACTTCAGGAAACTGCTTTCATGTTGGAACATGGAATTTGGGGTTTTCTTGGGCCATGTTCTCTCATATTTGACTCTAGAGTAAACTCTCTTTTATTCTCTTTGAGGTAAGAGCTGTGTTTCTGAGTTGATAAAGTCATGGGGATGTGCCCTGGAGAAGGACCTGGGGACCCTGAGCCTTGAGGTGAGTGGTTTTCCTCTGCCACATGTATTTTCATGGTGTCTTGCCTCACACGGACTGAATGCAACAGAGTCGAGAAGCTATGGGCTGAAAACAACCCCCCAAATAAGCCTGTTTCCCTTAAAAAAATCATTGACTTTGTGAGTGTGTGTGCAAGGCACGCATGCCATTGCGCACGTGTGGAGGTCAGAAGACAACTTGGGATTGGTTCTCTCCATCCTTCATGTAGGATGAGGGGATGAAAATTAGTGATAAGGCATGGCAGCAAGTGCCTTTACCTGCTAAGTCATCTTGCTGGCCCCACATTTCTTCTTTTAAATGATTTATTTCAAGTATTTCGTCATAGTGATAGAAAAACTGATGAGCACAAAAATTTAGAAGGGTCTGAGCCCAAATCTCCTCCCTTGAGACTTGAGTAAATATTAGGACTCATAGCCAGAAGCTCAGTTGTTCTTTTCCCAGGACCGGGGACTGCAGACTTCATCTGGGAAGCAGTGGTGCAGAAGGCGGGAACTGTGCCGTCCTTGAAGGATTTGCACACTCCGGATGAAGACATCCATTTGGGTCTAATCTGGTAGAAGGCCGAACCTTGTGGCTTGTCAGACCCCCACCAACCTCCAGTGCTCCATCAACGACCCCCGTTCCTGCAGCAGGCAGATGGCAGAGAAGCTGCCGTCACCTCCCCATCTCAGAAGACAGACTGAGATCGAAGTCTCTCGTTTCAAAACTGTTAGTTCAGCAGCAATATTTTACCACAGATTGCTGCTTCATTAATTTGTCTCCAAAGGGCGGGGAGATGATGGAGGGCATCAAGGATTTACGCATCCTTGCTGGGGGATGTCTTTCTGTGCACTGTGAACATATGTTGGTCCCATTGGTTAATAAATAAGCTGCTTTGTCCTATGGTAAGGCAGCTTAGAGGCAGGTGGGAAATCCAAGGAGAGAGACAGGAAAGAGAAAGGTGGAGTGGGGGAGATGCCAGACTGCCATCCTAGGAGCAACATGTCATGGGATGCAGGTAAAGCCACGAACACATGGTGATACACAGATTAATAGTTATGGGTTGAGTTAAGTTATAAGAGCTGGCTAGTAAGAAGCCTGAGTCATGGGCCATATAATTTGCAGTTAATATTAAGCCTCTGAGTGATTATTTTATAAGTGGCTGCGGGACCGCAGGGCTGGGCAGGACCAGAGGAACGCAGCTACACATCCTGATAATTCTACAGGGGACTTCTGGTACTGGAGTACCTGTTGTCTTTTCAGCAGCCTGTAAGCCAAACTATCATTCAGAGACAGTAAGGAAAGCATTCAGCACTGGGTGTTGGCTGATACTTTGTGGTAGTCTGAACTGCAGGAACAGCATTTTCTGTGTTGAATTAAATGGCCAAGGGGGTGACTTTCAAAGACACTCAAGGGGAACTGGCCTTGATGGATGAGAAGGGGATGCTTGTATCTGAGAAGGGAGATGAGTCTCTCCTCTCTGTTGGGCAGTTCGAACTGTAGCCTCCAGGCCAGCCTGAAAGGTGGCAGATGCTGGGCCTGTGCTAGGAGTTGTCTTTGATGCCTGAAGACTCTGTTGCCTGCCGAGCTGACATGCACAGTGCTGGAAGGATAAGGTCCAGTGCAGAAGTTATACATTGAGCCCATACTCACTCTCCAAATGGTTTCTGTACAAAGCCTGTCAGTCACCCCTACCCGCCATGGGCAGAGCTGCCATTTTACCAGTAGGTGGCAGCAGAGGGTTTTCGGAAAGGATGGACATCGATCAGTGGGTTTCTGGCTGTCACTCATAGGGTTTGCTTTCTGAATCAGAGGAAAAGTGCGTTTGATTCTAGTTAGGTCTTAGGAAGGGGGTCCTTAAGAGTGACACAGCCCTCCTTTACACTGGCACTGGAGAATGACAGGGTGCACAGAGCCGAAGGACCCCGGAAAGAAGCTTCCTGGATGCAGGGAGCATCCCAAAACACCAATGCTTGAGTTCACCCTCAGGGGATTTGTTTGAAACACACTACACACCTAAGACAAACTTTTTTTTTCACAGTCATTTATTCCATTTTTTTTTTTTTTTTTTTTTTTTTTTTTTTTTTTTTTTTGGTAAGGAATCCAAAATAACTTGGAAACATCTACCCAACCTCCTTGCTCTTAGCCAAGGAGAAGAGGAGAGACAGGAGGAGGG